GAATTTGTCTAGGCAAGGTGACAGCAATGGCCTCAAGTATCTGAGAGGTTGCTCATGGTGTGTATGCATCCAAATCAGACCAGACAACGTTGCTCTTTGCTAAATTCAGCCTTCTACTGTAGACAGAAAATGGTAGACAGTATTTGTTTTTACAGGAGTCTTACTGGCTCACATTAGAAGGAACCTTATTTTATGTAGGGTGCGGAAGGTGTAAGTCACCTGTGAAAAGCATGGAGTATGTAAATAACATGAAATTGTTAGTCTGCTCTACTATATGTGAGAAGGGATGTGTTTTTCAAAAGATGAGTCATGTCAGTTCCTCTGTTTCAAAAATTAGGCTAATACCTAATGTAAATTATTTTGCACCTCTCCAGTGAGATGTTTGAAATGCAAAGTAGTGAAAAATTTGAGGATGTTTCAATGCGAAGGAGACTTTGGACCAGTCTTTGTCTGTCTGTCTGTTCTCCCTACTAACTCCTAACAAACTGGTCAAATCTAAGGAGGTAGATCTCTACAGAATTTTTTTAAGACAACACTGTTTTCTTAAGTGCCATAAAACTAGGGCTACGTAGTAGAGAGTAACCCTGCCTGTACTCCCTGTAAAGCAAAAGCTGCAGTGTGAGCTCACCCTTTATTAGTCATAGGAGAACCTGCATGGATGAGAGTGGCTTTTTCCCCTCAGGGTGGAAAAAGCTTCAGTCAAAATTCACACTTCATTAGACACTGGATAATCTGAGCATGAGGCTCAAATCCATAGGCCTCATTAATTCCTTTTCATTATTAAATTATTAACAGTTTCCCTGACAAAGCAGAACAAAGCAGCTGCCTTTGGACAGATATAGAAGAGTACAATTTATACTGAAAGTTATGGAGGACATTCAGCTATTACATTTCTTAATAGTCTCAGTGCTTACATCTGAAAGTTTAGTACATTTCTATCATCAAAGTAGCGAACTCAGGTTTCTGAGGTGAAGTAGAAACTGCTATAGACATCCAAAGGAATCACATACAGTCTATTTTCTGAGATCAGAGCTCAGCTAGAGTTGCGATCTGCAGGGACCTCAAGGACAAGAAGACAATCTCTGCCACAGCTTTGGTAGTTAAAGACTGAAAAAGGAAAATGTGGGCAAATGATCTAGTAACAGTGGAAACAGGTAACACTGTGATACTCAAAGCCAGCTTTGCCTCAGACTTACTGGCAGAGTCTCCTATGTCTGTGTGCTTTGGATTCAAGGAAAACAGCCAGGAATCAATGAGGATCAAATCAGTGATCACATCGGAGAACTCAATGCATAAACATCCATAGAATTGATTGAGTTGTGTCTGGGGGTGCTGAGGGAGCAGCCTGATGTCCCTGCTGGGCTGTGTTTATCTTTGAAAGGTCATGGACACTAAGGGAGGTCCCCAATGGCTGTAGAAAGGCAGATGCACCCATCTTGAAAAAAAAGCCAAAGGGAAACCATTGACTGGTCAGCTTCTCTACAGCTCATGTAATCCTCCTGGGACACATATGTGGGCACAGCGAGGAATAACCAGCATTCTTTTGCCAAGGCTGAATCATGCCTCACCAACCTGATCACCTTTTATAAAATGAGTGTGTGTGAATGAGGGGAGAGCAGTTGACTTTAGGAAGGCTTTTGGCACCATCTCCCACAGTCTTGTCTCCAGATTGGAATACTGTGATCTGGACAAATGGATAACTACGTGTCAAAAAACTGGTCACATAATAGGCATCAGATGACAGTGGTTAAGAGGCTGTGATCTATCTGGAGACTAATAGTAAGCGGAGTACCATAATGTTCTGTCGTGAGACCTGCCCTGTTTCATGTCCTTGTCCTATTGATGACAGAGTGCCCTCTCATAGAGTTTGCAGATAACAGCAGCTTGTTGGGATCAGTCAATGCAGTCAAGGGTAGAGCTGCCATTCAGGTCTTAAAGTAGAGGAACGGGATGACAGGAACTTTGTGAAATTAAGACAGGACAGGAGGTACCTGGGACAAACTAACACCCTGCAGGCTCCTGAGGTGGGGAGCAGATCTGCAGAATGGGGGTCCCATGTGCGGCTGGGTGAACCCAAGCCAGTAGGCTCCAGGCAGTGGTGGTGGCCAGCAGCGCTCAGGGCTGTGCCAGCAGAATGGCCAGAAGATCAAAGGAAGTGATTACCATCCTCTGCTCGGCGCTTAGACCGCTTCTGGAATACAGATCTTTGTAAAAATTCTCTCCTTCATCCAGGAAGGGGAGTGGAATTCAAACACCCAAACAGCAATTCCCACCAGAGCTGAGGACTACTAGAGTTGCTGCCCACATTGAAGGAAGCACATGTTGTATCCCTTCATGTGTTGCTTGCTTTTTAGCAAGGCAGCCAAACCAGCTGGTGACACATACAGTAGAGGCAACAATGCAGGAGACAGGGCAGGCAGCCCTTGTATGGAGACGAAACTTGGGATGCAACACTATCTGACTTACCCCAGGCAAGGGCAACAAAAATACCAAACTCTGAGTTCTGGTTGGCAAAGAAGTAGTGTAGAAACTTTGCTGTTCCTTTGATACCTTTGTCCCACATCTAGCTCTTGTGAGTTGACGACATAGCTCACAAGTTCCCACTTCACTCAGAAAGGAACTGGGCATTCAAAGAAAATCAAGCATAGGAATTGTGAATGAAGTCAGTTGTGAGGTGGCCTCACAATGCCTCAGTTGGAAAGGATAAAAAGGTATGAGTCTGCAAGGGAAGGTAGAAAAAAGGCCTGTAGACATGCCATTAGTGTTTTAGGTGATAAACTAATTAAACATAGTAAAGTTAGGAGTGGTTCTAAGGTTGGTGATTTGCATTCCTTTTCACTTATGATTTTGGGCTTGGCCCAAGTTATTTAGGGATTCCCAGTAACTCTTCCAGGAGAGCTGGAGTAAGAAAATGTGAGTCAGTCCCAGAAGAAAAGTGTCCTTAGCGCTAATGTGTAACTTCATAGTAGTCATGAGTTTGACTCAAGAGAACGCGAAAGGTTGTGAGGCCTCAGTATGGAGCAAGGTGTCATGCTGGCTGGTGAAGACTTCATATGAACCAAATACTGAAAATCTTCTATCCACCTTGCCAAGGCAGAAGAATAAAGAATGCAGCATTGGCCTTGAAGGACCTAGGAAAGGCAGGTCCTAGAAAAATTGTCCTTAGGCTTCTATGGTGAAAGACTCTCTGAAAACAAAAGGCAGAAAGGATTCTTTTAATTTCTTTATTAAGTATGGGTTTTGAATGGTAGGAAGCACACAAAAGCAGTGTTATGAATGCTGCCATAAGGAAAAGGTACACAACTGATTTCTGT